TATTTTCCTACTATTTGATTCAGAGAACGATTACACACATACGGTGACATGTCACATTTGTGAGTCCTGCAATACCGTGAGTCAGATATTTTCCATGTTACTCGAAAGCGAAAAACATATTCACGGCTGAAAAACTTTATAAGGTTTTTCACTATATTTTGAAGGTATTGTACAGAATTCCTTTCTACCTGCGCTATGATACAGTATTTAATATTCAGTAATCGTATGACGGATATCATTGGCACTTGGTAAGATGTGCAGCAGCCAACGGATTGGCTTGGCTCTATTAACACTAATCATGGCTGCCTGATCTTGACCAGTATGCTTTTGCGCAGATCTGGCTGACAACGCAATAGCGATTTGATTTACCATCATGGCATAGGCGAAGTTGAACGTCCGAAAATAGGACAGCCGTAGATGACGCATTCCAGTGAGCAAACTTGTTTGGCTGGTGTTTCTTGATGGGTTCCTTGTTAAACTGGAAAAGGGAGCCATGTAGTGCAGACGTAAAATAATCTCCCTATAAAAGTTTTGTAGCTTGCTCTATCGATCCGGATAAAAGGAATTCATCCCAGATTCTCGACCTAATAAGTTGCGCAAAGGTAGCCCAAGTTATGTAATTCACCTGTCGGGGAAGCCGGGTTGCATCTGGTCGAGCAGGATTAGCGACGGAAAGTTTTAAATACAACGATTAGTGTACTATTCTATGATTGCTTCCATGCATATCCTGGCCTACTGATATGCTCAGTTTTGTGTTGCCTATAGTAAACACTAAGTTCAATATTTGCTTCTCCCTGCTAGGAGCTGGAACATATTGCTCCCAACCGCCCAGGTTATGCTAATCTAATAAACTTGCATATTTCAATGGAGCGGTGGGTAGGAGCCATTCGAGATCAGGTAAGTTGTAAGTACCTGCGACAACTTTGTATTCACAGCGATAGCTCGACGTATGCTCAAAGGTTGCCATGCATGCATTATAACTCACATTCGATGAGTCAGGGGCTCCCCAAACGCCTCCTAATATTAATGTGGATCCCATGATATCGGCTGTTACCCATACGGAGTCCATGGTCGCTGCATTGTTAATGGTTTCTGTTCTTGCTTGGTGATTTTGTTCTAGGTAGGTAGCACTTCCTTCACTTCGATGGTGTATTCGTGATTGCATATACAGCGGATATCCAGGAAGGGTGTAGGAATCATCGACGTTGTATGGTGTGAACCCTGTTTTAGTGACTAAAATTGCGTCCGGTGCGTTAAGGATGGCCAATGGACTCAGAACGTGCATCTTATTACTAATTGACCTGGTGAGTGAGAAGGAACTGTTGGGGTCTTCTAGCTTTACGGATGACGCCAAGAAGACACTGACTGTTGACTTTCATGCCGTCACCTCACTGCAAATTAAGAGGATGTCTTGATTAATGGGCTCAACTCTAAACTTAAAAATGCTTGTCCCAAAGACTATTTGGCTAGCTTAGAACACGCATTTAAATCAAGTGGACTGTCGGAGGAGTCCCAGCAGCAGATACTGCCGGCAGTTGTCCCAGTGAGAACTCGGAATAATGTCACCCACTCCCTAGTTAAGGAGGAACAGGATGCACTCAAACGTATACAGAAAAAGAAGAAAATTAGAATCCTACCAACGAACAAAAGGCACATGAAAGTGGTAAGGGGCAAACCGGAGTATATTAACGAGGTCAAAAAGCTGCTATCCGACACAACCATATGTCACCAGATAGATCAAGAGCCAAGTACCAGACTAGTCAACCAGGTCAACGCAACGCTGAAGCAACTACAAACAAAGAACGAGCTTACTGCCACGGAGGGATGGAGAATGAAAGCTGATGAGACAAACATTGCACTGTTCTGTGAGCTACCAAAAGTACAGAAAGATAGAGTCCCACTACGACCAACCGTCTCGATCCCCGAAACCCCATAATGAAAATTGACGAAGGATTTGTGGAGGTGGTTAAAACGTTTGATTGACGGATCCGAACATGGCGTCAACAATGCCGAACGATTCCACAACAAACTGCGGAGTGTCAGGATAGAAGAGGATGAAATAATGCTTTCGTTCGATCTCACCGCACTCTTCAACGCAAACGGTCACGAATTGGTACAATAAACCATGATAAAAGTACTTCAGAACCAACTAAGCCCAAAGTCAACAATACGGCCTGAAGATTTTGGGGAAATCCTGAACGTCTACATGAACAAGCATTTTTGCTTTGATGGACAAGTGTACCAGCAACCGAGAGCAACACCAACGGGATCCCCAATTTCGAGGCTCATTGCAGAAGCCGTAATGCAGAAATCGCAGCGCATTGCACTGCCAGCTGTTAGCCCAAATCTCTGGATATGATACGTGGACGACACATTTGTCATCGTAAGACGGAACAAAGTACACGGGACGCACGATTTGCTTAACAGCACATCCGAGGACATCAAATTTAGGACTGAATTAGCGGAGGACAACATGTTATCATTTTTGGATGTACTGGTCACTTGGAATACCGATGGACCTCTGCAAGCGTGCGTTAATGGGAAGAGAACACATACGACCAACTATTAAACTACCACAGTAATTGCCCAATGAATCACAAGAACAGCTACATTCAAACCCTGTCCAAACTAGCGGAAACGCACTGTAGCACAGTCGAGTTGCGGAAACAGCAAGAAACGCACCTATATCGAGGGTATAGAAACAACGATTGTCCGAGAAATTTCATCAGCAGTAGCAGAAAGAACCGAATGTCTCAGAAAAAGCAGCAGCAGCAGCAGCAGCAGCAGCAGCAGCAGCAGCAGCAGCAGCAGCAGCAGCAGCAGCAGCAGCAGCAGCAGCAGCAGCAGCAGCAGCAGCAGCAGCAGCAGCAGCAGTCACCTGAGCAAGCAAACCAACGGATAGCGCTCGCCTACATCAAGAACGTCTCCGTACTAACAGGAAGATTGTTGCAGTCACAGGGAACTTCTGTGACTTAAAAACCAAGTGCCATCCTAAAAAGTTGATCTCAAAACCCAAAGAAAAGGTCAATTAAGCCGACAAATTCAATGTAATCTACCAGATAATATGCAGCGACTACGACGTCGGACAAATTAGACGAAAACTTTGTGCCCGAATTACTGGACACATGGCAGCCATCAGAAGACATGATCCGCACTCTGGTTTGTGGGCATGAAGGTCAGAAGGCCAAAATTTCGATGTGAAAAAGCTGACATTCCTAGCACTTGGAATTACAAAACACTGGAGAGCGTTTTCGGAAGTCTGGCACTCTACAACCTATCCAATCAATCAACACACCGAACTGGACGCATAAATGCAACCTTACCATCGGAAGACTGCGAACTCGATGAGTTGAATGCAGTGGAACGTGTGACTAGACAACCAGAACAGACGACAGACTTGATCACAAGCGGAAGCAGACAAAGCCCAAGAAGCACAAGGGGTCAAGATCAAAGGTCATGTGCCCATCAAGTAAGCGATTGGTCGGCTCCACTGGCAACCGCAATGGTATCAAAAAGCACCCACACCACGCTCAGCGCACTCTCTCAGAGGCTCCCCTACGCCACCCTACGCTGCTACGCGTTGCTCAGTTCCGCACTGAGGATGTCACCTCGATTGTTGAAAAAATGTTTTCAACAAAATTGCCATGCTTTGCGCACAGTTCAACCGTTATCGGAACAACATAACTTGTCATTCTTTAATTATATAACCAAGTTGGTTTCATCTTTATGATCAGATTTCTGGCGAAAATAACTTGTACTGGGTTCTTGGTTTTGTATTTCACTTTTTCATTAAATCGATAACGAGTTCACTAGTCTTAGTTGTTAGTTAACTAACCCTACCAATGTGATCGCCGTTTATTCGCGGACACTTGAGCGTACAACAGTTAGAGCGTTATTGCTGGATCCATTTTGGTTGAGCTGCAGTGCCGGTTTTTCGTTGGTCCTGGCTTGAAGACAAGTAATGTTGGTCAACGCTTTGTCTCTCTATTGGTGTTAGCTGTGTTTGCAACAGAGGTGACTTATGTGTGGCAACCCGAGTAATTTTGCAACGACCTCTGCTTATGTGATTGAATACCCGGAGGATTCGAACTCGATCTGTGACACTAGAATTTGGGATGCAGAAGACTCGTGTTCGGCTGCCCCATCCTTACCAACGGTAGAACTTGGTAGGACTATGAAAAGTTGATAGATAAAGGTTTAAGGTGGTGACTGCTCTTCGTTGTCATGATTACAGCTCGAGTGTCAGAGCGCCAGTCTATCGTTACATGTCGTCCGGTCATAGTTGGAAGGTATAGCGGCGATGGGGATCTCAATGCTCTTAGTTAAGCTGAAGAAAACCCTGCACCATAGCTTTACTTAGAGGCCAATAAAATCTTCTAAAGCATACTGGCTTCCAGTGAATTATACTTAGATTCAATTCGCCGGTCAAATTTCGCTACTAACTGGACGCACTTCTGGCACAGGATTAGGATACACTTGACGAATACGCCGGTCAAACACGTGATAAAAAACCATAAGACGTCTTGCGAACTGTTTTGACGTTTTTGGCCCAGTTGGGAAATATTCGCACACATCGGATTATGCCTGTTGAAACAGTGTGATCTGGATAAACGCAGGTTGACTAATCGATTATACTCTCCCGATCAACAGTCACCCCTCGGACGAAGCGCTTTTGATTCGCTTTTACTTATTTTCTGCTTCTTAGCATAGTGTCACTCCGTGATTCAGTCAGATGGGTAATGTTGCGTGTTTTTACAAGTTTGCTCGGTTGTGCACTCCAGTCATATATATATATATATATATATATATAAGTATGATCGAACGTGTTTTCACTTACATCATACTTCGGCTGGGCACAATAACCGGAGTCAGTAACTTGAAGGTAATATTATAGTCTAAACTGGTAGGGATGAATATAGTCTATTACGAATAAATAATTTCGGTTCAATCTGAAGTAGAGCAAAATCACTTATTTCCAATATATGACTTTAATAATGATATTAAGTTGGAGCATTTAGGACTTTCAGTTGCAAGTCAGCGATGTCGTAACCAGTTTCTTCTTGGTTTCGCTTTTCCAAGCCCTCTTGTGTTAATGTGATGACGTCCACTTCATCTGACTCGAATTGTAAGACAAATTCCCCTTCCAAATGTCCCAAGTGTGGACCGGATACAACGCAAGTGAAGTTCTTGATGCCCGATCTTTTCTCAGTATTCACCAATTTGTCATACTAGTTGATAAAAGAGAACAAGTACCGTAAGTACAATATTTCCAATAACACAGTAAAATTATTACAAGAGAAATGGTTATGCTTGACAGGTTCTGGATTTTGTGGTAGCATTTAGTAATGCGCAGCCAATTTTGCCACATTTTAGTCATCTTTTGTCTACAAATTGACTTAGCGCTTGGACGTGAACACCCGTGTGCCAACAAGAGAATGGGATGTTGAACCGTTGTTATAGTCAAGGATATACGATGCAGTATATGCCGCGAGCTTCCAACGTATGTCCCCGTAACGGTCAAACGCTTAACAACATACCGTATCCTGTTAATTAGTTATGTCAAACGCCATAACTTTGCAATAAAACCAGCGGCATCGCACAAGATTCATGAGTTCATAACGTGTTAAAAAGTAACCCATGTGTTCTGCAAATTTAGGTTTATTTACTGGCCAAGTGATCACGGGTTGTCATATTTTTGGCCAATCTGTAGAAAGTAAGCCAAATCTATAAAAAATTGGAAAACTTGCAAGCAAATTGCAACTTGAACTTCGTTGCATAATGATTGTGCAAGATTTGAGAGTTAGTGGACAATAACTTTTGAAGGGTTATTGTGGCTCGAGTATTATGTTTGGCCACGACCGTCTTCTAATCATCGTGAGTCACCACAGTGAGTGCTGCAGCCAAACGTGTTTACCAAATAACTCAAGACTGTTGCTTACTTTCGAGCAGGTTGTCTCCGCAATATGCATCACCTCAGTTGCGCTTCCATATGCGCTGCGCCATTCGCCCGTTAAATAATCTCCAACGAATCCCATGGCAATCCGGATGGCTAAATTGATTTGACAATATTGGCAATTCGAAAGTTACAAGCATAATAACTTTCAAGCAAAACCGTGTACGTTGCCTTTATGGTGCAACGAATACGCTTGTTTGTTAATGGTCAATATGTAGGTGCATGTGTGGGCTTGTTAATTTCGCTTGTTGACTATCCATGGTGAGGTGGAACGCTTAAAACCTTTGTGAAAACCGCTGATAGGTTGGTCAATATGTTTTCGCGCAAGCGGATAATTCACACTAACAAGAAAGGCGATAAGGTGACGGAAATCGCAAGAGTAGTCAGCTGCGTTGAACTGATCACTCTGGTGAACGATGTGGGATGCGTTGCTTAGGATTATAGCGTCAGTTCCCAAGGCCAATTGTCCATCCGTATGTGACTGCAGCAGTGGCCGAGTCGTCCAGAACCAAGTTTAAATGATGAGTGGCGGATTGTTCTCTTACCTGTGTATTCTAGTAGTCATTGATTTTTCAAAATCGCCAGCGTATAAGAACTTACTTGTGTTACAGTTTTTGGTGACAGCCACTGCGAAATAATAAAGACATAAGTTAGCTTTTAGAAGAAAACAGCATCAAAGAGGAATACGGCGATCTGACTGTTTAGAGAGTTCATGAGTGTTCCAAACACCATTTTCATTATTTTTCAATTAACTGACGGATAACTGCGGTATACGTGTCTATTGACGATTAGGATCACTACTTATTGCTACACAATTATTTTACGAAGCTAGCTAGAGTGACAAAAGATGCATGTGTCGAAATATCATTTCAATATTTTGGACCAATTTACCGTATTTTCGTTGCAGGTTTAAGTTCGTGATGTTCGAGTCATTTTTCCATCTTGCAAGTTCCAAAAACAAATCCTTTACAAACTTATGTGCATTTCAACTGATCCTGTATTCTCCAGACTGACAATGACGTGAGTTTCATTGGGATGACCAGTTAAGGAGGAAATGCCACATTCGACCATTTCGTATGGCACACCTGTATGAGATGTAATTGAGGCCCGGAGCTGAAATCGCATGGTAAATAATGCCTTTTTAGGGGAATTTGCTTTAGAACTTCAAAACATGAGGTCAGTATATGATTCAAAATGAGCGATTAGCCTTATTGATTTGAGACGGTATCAACTTCATAGATTATTTTTATTTCACACAATTACCATGTGTCACTAAACAAAAACTCAATGAAATATTGTTTACCTTGATACAGACATCGTCAACAAGTCTAGATGATGGATTTTCTTGCACTTCCTTTTTACTTGTAAATGGTAACTTAACGCCATTCTTGACTAGTACTCCTGTTATCATTATGACTGTTAGGGCAAGCGAAAATGCATTTTAAATTAAAAAGATAACTATTTCGTTAGATAATCTTGCAGATAAGACTTGGTTATTTAGCGAGCAACGTGTGATGGTGTTTCTGCGTTTACTTCAGGATGCAGGTTACGTTTTCCATGAAATTTTCAAGCAAATAATAACTTAGACTTGACGGACGCAAAGGAAATTTTATAATAAGCAATAGGTTTGTAGGAATTAATTAATGACATATACTTTAATAATGTGAACTCACTATGTTGACGCTCCAGTTGGCATGACTCAAACGTAATTGCTGTTGAACGAAAGAGGTCGTGTCCATGTAGAGTACATAATGAAGTAATTTGGCACATAAGGTGCTTCTGAAGTGCATTAATCCAGAATGCCTAAGTAAGTGGCCTGACTCACCGTATCGGTTTCGCTAAATCGGTGTATTTTGGACATCATACACTCGAATGAGCACGAATTTCGACTAGCCTGTCAACTGTTTCGACAGTCAGAAGTGGAACGATGTTGTTGTTGCACATCTAAGCGCCGTGTACTCAAGCTGTCAGACAAAAATGCTCACTACATTAAGCAGCTGGTTCTACCACTGCCTTTGTATATATGATACAGAAACAACTAAATTTCCAAGTGGTTTAGCAAAGCTTGGGCGGGGCATCAATTTGTCCTGCGCATTAATTGCATGCGTGGCACCTTTTATGATGTGCACATGACCTAATCGGATGAACCAGCTGCTTTAGACTTTAAATGCTAATGAATGCGTATGAATCAACAACCCATACATGCGACTGCCTACTACAGATAACGAGAATTAGAATTTTCTCAAGGGTCCGCGCAGGGTAATGCAAAAAATTAGCTAATGTTCATTAAGACTAGCCGCCTGGTACTTATTGAATGGGATGGGATGATAATTATGGTCAACACAGTTCCGTGGGTGAATGCTACCACTGAATAGTCAGCATCGGAGGATAAAGTGCACGGTGATCACGAGACGTACCAAGCAGTAGTAAGCATTTTGACGTGAACATCACAGCGATTAGGCGATCTAGCATTGTGATGCGCATCTAATTTATATACTCGCCACAATGCTCTTTCCACACAGTGGGCTGTTCTAGTTGGTGGATATGTGTGTCGCATACACGAGAATCTGTTTACGACCTGTACACCCATTGGGTAGCCGACACTATCTATTTGGTACAGCCGCATTTGGGACGCCAATCTGATGGACGTCGGAGGAAGTGTGAAGTCTATTGGTGCTTAACGGAACAGTTGGCAGTCCGTATTCTACAGGTAGATCCAAGACAGTTAAACGGTGAATGTCTTCCCCTGATAGCTACCCACGCATCTATCATGTAATAGCAATTTCGGAAGCTATGTGGGCTGAGTTTAGGCTTCTGCTGTGCCGTAAAAATTGCTTCCCCTTGAGAAACTTACAGTCAATTGTTACCATATTTCGTGGTTAGCTGTCTACTGATAGCTACTGCCTCTGCCTTAGCTCATGTTTTATCTAAACGAGAAACTCGTATTACAATTGCTGTATATCAGTCTGAATGGAGAACGTGGTAAGATAATACCAGAATATTCTACTATTAACCGACGGGTTTCTTACCTTGGCATCCACCCTGAGTAATTCACCAAGACACTGCTCTAAGAAAAATACTAGATAAAAACTATTTGAATTTGGGAGCCTCGCTCTAGATCACCGAAACAAGTACCTGCGCCATCTGCTTGATAAACCATGTTTGTCTTGAGTATTACTGCCGTCCACGGTTTTCATAAAAACCAGGCTGCACATCCCAATGCATGGATTTACGAATCTTGCTCCATGTGACGCATTTGCCTGTAGTCCGTTCGTTCCAGCATTCGCATACACCTTCTTTGTGCAATTGCTCCATTCATATCAGCCGGGAACCTAATGTATCGCACTATCTATGCACTGCAAAACGAACACGTTATTGCGTGGGGTTATGTAACCCAATATAAGCGCCTGTGTATTGCAATGCGCGGATCATGGATTTCGTGATCGGTCTGTTTTCGACATTTGTCTGTAGGATACAAGTAGAGTGATTTGTACTCTTATTTCTTGTCTTGTACGGACCCGGCTGTTTTCTTACTGAGCAGTATCGTTGATGCATTTCCTCATTACATTTTGCTACCCATTTGAATAATACCATAGTTTACTTCTGGCCTTGTTTTGGTTTGATCCTGTGGTTATAAGAGTTGCTCAGTTCTTAGTAATGCACCACGGGAATACATCAGATCTAAAGGGAAAATTAACGATTGAGTCGTTAAACACCATCTCCATACGAAACCAAACTCATTGGTTCTGCATCCATATTCCTGCCACGAGGTGCAACACGATCAAATGCGACGGTTATTATCAACGTGAAACCTCAATTAGACTGACGTATGGTCTTGACGTCATATTGTTCTGTACAATAATTGTCAATATATGGAGTTGCTGACGGTCAGAGTGCATCTGGTGATAGGTAGCATGAAGGACGAAATTCTGTGAACATATTTTGGGGTGCTTGGAAACTAGATTCAACGATAAATTTCCCGAAGTGAGCTGGCGGTTATCCGGTAAATGCTTCGGGTATACATGGCGGTTTGGGTAAGTAAGGATACCCAGGGTTTAGTTGTGAAAGGGGACTATGCAAATGCTCAATGCAGCTATACTAAGCACTCGTGTTAAGTCAGTGCAACTAGAAATAAGGTGAGCAAACGAAAGCCGAAGGATGCACACATTTCTTTTTGATTCCCACTTACCATTAGTGATGGTCGGTATACATCTTTTCACAAAGATTTGGTGCAACAAACTTGAAAAATCAATTCACTCTGTGGACAACAACCCGTATGTAACAGAGGACCCAGTTACGTGGCTTGAAAACTCCGGTCTTTGGATTCTGAGTAATGGAATATGTAATGAGATGGGTTCAGTTTGCAATTTTCCCAGACACCTTACCCTAGTTAAATTTTGGTCTCTTCTGGACCGTTGTAGTTCTCCATAAACAAAAAGGTTCGGATTTCTAGTCGCGAGTTAGTGTTCAACGTTTTGTTGTGTGGCACTAGTTCATGCTATGTTCGGTTTGCAAGAACTGTTATCATGTCGGATGAAGGCAGTCCTGTGCGTTTGCAAAGAAGGATTCGTAAACCTTATGCTGTTACAAAGTAAAAATGGAAATCTCATTCATTAACAATAATAAGAATATACGTATTCAGTTTCACCATGCATGTGCCCTTTTCGGCATGATCGCTTTACTGCAATTGTTTGTAATGAAATCCCCAGGATAGTCCAACTGACTTTATCAGTATTGACTCTCTACTTGTAAACCACAGATGGATCATACTGTCCGAATACTCTAACTAAGAAAAAATGCTATTTATGAGATGCGGTGCAGACCTATGAGGACATGAGAAACTTTAAAACCCAATTGCAAAAACATACGAGATGACAATCAAATCAGACAAAATATTTTGCAATATTTTGTGGCATTCTAAAATAGGGTAGTGCATGTCTGAGATTTTTATCTTTAGATTAATACCGGCACAAGAAGGCTGAATCAAATGAAATTTGAGGTTGCTGTATATGTGTGAGGAGGATATAGTTGGCGGCATCCAGTTTCGGATTTGCCTGTCACTGTGACCAGCCACAGGACGCCTGCGCCTACAGAAGAACATGGCTGCTTTGCGCTGCACCACCCACAGCTATAACCACACAGCCCATTTACAGTGTAAACCCGAAGGAGTAAGACCGGGAGGCATGCGGATGGGAACCACGTTTCATCAACGGAGCCGGCCCACACTCCTTCACAGGCAAACACAAGCACGCTGTATTTGGGGAATCAATCGCACACAAGGCGGTGGCTTGACCGTAGTCTGCTCCACACTGAGTGCATGGAATCACTTTTCGAGCATATCATGGATACATGGACCGTGCTCCCCGTCCCCTCCAGCAAAGACCAACTATCTCCTATAGCCAGTATGGAAGAGGTAGTGGGTAATAGACAGGTAGGCACCTTGTCAACATGCACATCAAGCACAGATACACCGGGGATATCAAGCAACTGCCAATCACTTGAAACGACAAAATGCAAGAAAATTAATCGGATAAGGCATGAAGATACGGTGACGTAACACTGCAGTAAATGGACGTATAAAAAATTGGTTATGAACGTATCCGCGATAACTTCAAGACGTCAGGACATATAGTTGATATTATACAAACCATTCAGGCGATTCGGTTTACTTGTGCGCTAAGCCTATGATAGACATCAAAACAATGAAAAAAATAGCGTTGATTTCAAAAGTAGGACCAATTAGCTTACTATCGGCATCGGCTTTTTCTGCATGAGGTTTACAACAGCAGCGGAATGAAATAGGAGGGAACAAAAGAAAGCAACGAAAGTTGTCGACAGTCTATTTTTCCCTTCGTATTCACACTTTTCAGATCGTAGCATGCACACATGGCTAAGTAAGTAGAACATGAAGAGATAAATTATGTGGACCAATTTACGTTTTTAAATCTTATACATTTCACATATATTAATAAGGTCTGTCCTTGGTAAACGCTGTTTCCATTACAGACATACCGGTTTGTCCGTGAGGCATGCTATGCCTGGTACAGAAGTAAAGCTTATTGATTGAAGAAGAGTGGGGAACATGTTGTCAACTTTTCATCTTCTTTTCGGAAACATTTAGTTCGAATGCTTAGTCAAGCAAGCGCCCTGTGGTAAAGCATTTTCTGTACACTTAAATTAACAAATTTATGTCCCGGCCCACTTCTCAGCTAGCTATTTTAATGTAGATTAATTGCAACCGACTTCTTGAACGCCTGTTACAATCCATAGGACTTTATTCCAAAAAGCAAGCTTTCCCAGATTTTAGTGCATGTTTTTCGATAGTATTTTCTGCAGGTATTGCTTCTAGTTTTGAATACTGGAAGCGTGTACTTGGTTTTTATAATAGTGTGTCTACTTGTTCCTTGAGTTGGTTATTAGTCTGGTGTAAAGAAACATTATGGACTAGCTCATATAATTATGTTTGGCCTATCTTTATGCATCCTAATCATGGTGTTTTCAGTTTCATTAAGCAACAAGGCGCAAAGGAGTTTGAATTTGACGAAGGATTTATAAGGGCACTCATAAATGGGCACCGCACTACCTCTACACACCCAGAGTCCGTTTCCTACTGCTAGTAGAAATACTCTAGCACAGGGGAAATTCACAGTATAGTCAAGGACAACAGAGAAGCATTTAAGATATGTTCTTCAATTCGTTAGCAGAACTTTATTTAAATAAATACATCATCAAAATTCAGCGTGCTAGAATAACGGATGCCTAGTTCACATATAGTTTTATAACAAGATGGAAACTCATGGATCATTTCCAAATAACTGGTGCCGCAAACATTGTAGTCATAGTAATGCAAAACGCAACTTTTGCTCACGAGGCGTTTTTTAACAAAGTAGTTGTCCAATTTCCTCAAGTCATAATTCCACACAGCGACATATATTGAAAAGTAGATGGGAAAATGAGAAGCAACAGACTCAGTTCCACAGTTGAGGAGGCTGCGTGTTCACTGCCAACAGAATATGTGCTTCAATAGACGTAAATTAGGGATGTTAACTTAGGTACCCAATCAGATGAACGGGATACATGAAGTTGTCAACAATGGTAGCGCTACGGTAGGTAATGAACGCACCAACTAAATCATTTTTAGCTCCGGAGGCTAATAAGCTAGCATATTTAAACGTTGTAGTTCCCCAGCATAACGACCGTGGACGATGTTGGAAAACAACAATTTTTCTGCACAGGTACGAACAAAATGCACAACCACAAATAAGACTTCTGAGTAAATGTTAATGAATACATATTTCTTGTCAAGTCTGGTATATGGAGACAAATAGGCACACACTACATTGAGTGTCATTACACACCCATACAGAATACTTGTGCTGCTTGCGTTAATTCAAATTATCCTTTTTCATGCCAATTTGTCAAGTACTTGTTGCCTGTTATCATACCGTCGATAGTAACGGTGAACTGAGAGT